TTTCAAACGTGGCATAAAGTAAGAGGGATTGTGGAGAATACAAGTTGGCAAGCAACTCAAATGGCAAACAAGATAGTTCCCTTCATAAATTCATCCTACAGTGTGAATTACAGGTGCTTCTATGAAACTTTAAAACAGACATCAAGATGAGATATGTATATACACCAATTCTTTATCATGAATGTTTTTTATGTATATAAAATATATACTAATGTCACCATTACACCAAAAAAAGATATGCTCAGCTAGACAATGTCTCCCATGTCTAGTAAAAACAAAAAACAAAACAAAACAAAAGGGTAGGAAAGCCAGGCTTAGTGGTACATACCTGTAATCCCAGCATTTGGGAGACTGAGGCGGGAGGGGCCAGCCTGACTACATAGTGAGATCCTGTCAATTAATACATAAATATGTAAGAAATCTCTGCAGAAATTTCATCAAGTTAGTGTGTTTACCTGAAATCAGGCAACATTGTTTACAAGAAAAGGCTGTAACACTATGCATGCAGATTTTCAAAGCCAGGATAAAACATCAAATAGTAAATTACAAGGGTTTCTCACTACATTGCTTCTGATCTTGGCAGGAAGCCAATTGGTAGCATCGTTCCCTAGTATACATACTGCTCTAGGTACAATAGGAAGTACTACATACATACAAACACACACAGAGACACATACTCATACACACAAACACACACATAGCCACAACATTACAATTCAGTGATGTCTGTATATTTTACCAAAGATTAAGACAGTTCAGCATCAGAAACATACATCAACAAAGAAAAACCTCATATGATTATTTGAAGCTTGGCATAAACATGTTTTCTAAGTCTTATTTTCTATTACTTTTTTTTCTTTTTGAATATTTGGGTGTATACTTGTTCCTAAAAATACTGAATTGTATTGAGGGTTGCTTTTTTGGGTTTTTTTTTTAATTTATTTAGTTTATTGGTATATTTTAGGTAGACAATATTATACTCATCTTTGGGAATTAGAAGTATCTTGGTTCTTAATTTTTCCCCCACCTATTAATTATTTACTAAAGGTCTCTATTACAAAGCCAAAGGGGATTAAAAGCACATATACCACAAAACTAACATACGGGACTCTAAATGGAGACACCCTGTATGAGTGTGGAGAGTGTGTGTTACATTTTAAATTGATACACATTCTGTACACTAGCCAACAGGCTGCTGACCATCAGTGGAAGTTTCTCTAATGTGTTTCTAGGGCAGCAGGAGAGAGAAAGCTTCCAGTGCCTTTGAATCACTGACAGGACTGAAAAGCCTGCTTTCCCTTAACTGTGGAAACAGCAAACGATGTGTTAGGTTACTTCCACATGTTTTCTCAAGTATGGAAAACCTCTGACTTGGCAGGAGTTGTGGACACATATGCTCCTAGACGACATGGTGCCCAGAGAGGGCAAAAAGATTCCACAAGATAATATTTTTCTGACGCTCGATTAAAAACCCAAGCGGAGTGACAAAAATCTCCATTTACACTTCAAATTTTTTCTTTTCCTTTTTTTTACACAAGATACCACTATGCAGCCTAGGCTGGCCTCAAATAGATGGCAATGCTTTTGATTCAGCCTCCTGAGGGCTAGGGTCACAGGCCTGCTCCATCATGCCGGGTAGTTTTGCTCTTCTCATCCTCCCCTCTACTCCCTTTCAGATTGTACTAGAGCAAAAATCCACGAAGGGCTCCCCAACTTGCTGTGCTATGATGACACACAATGGGGTGTAGAGACCAGACTAAAGGGGTGAGTGAACTGAAGCTCTGTGCTTTATCTCAGCTGTGCCCTTCTGCAGAGGCCATTCCCATGGGATTCTGCAGGATGCCAACATGACAGATTTGTCCACAGAGTATGGAGAATTCAGGAGAACTCGGAGGTTTCAGGGACTGCAGACTCCAGCCACATATGGAACACAAAACAAATGCCTGTGGTCATGTCTATCCTGAGAGAGATGTAAGTAACTGCAAAAATAAAAGACGCCAAGTCTGGGACATAAGAGCTCCATAAAGTTCAGTCCATTAAGACAAGAGGCAGTGGGAAAGCAGAAAAGGGTAGAATAGAAAGCCAAATACTTTCCCCAGGACTGAGGCAGTAAGAATGGTTCTCACAGTCAGCATAACATAGAACTAAGAATAGGAGCGTTTTCTCTTCAGCACTATTCATACCTGTTGCCTTGTGGTGAAACTGCTTAGCCCTGAGTCTGATCATTGACAATTTCTATGCTATTGCCTTGTCCTCATGGAACAAGCCAGACAGTGTTACCAGCATGGTGTACCTCTCTATAGTATTAAAACAAGTAGATTAAAAAAAAAAATAGAAAAAGGAAACTCAAGCCAGAAAACAAAAGCCACAGCACTACTTTTTTTTTTTTTTTATCAAAATACTACTTGTTATGTATCCCAGTTTAGCTCCTTGGGAGAACTTGATTAATACACAAGAACTCCACACAAAGTACTACCTGAGAAGTTTCATATTCTACAGTGAGGTGCTTTACAAAAAGTTGAAAGAATGAGTCTGCACATTCTACTTGAGTTACCAAAGGAAAATATCTTGATCAACCCACAGGTAGTTCAAAATATAATGTATTGAAAATGCACTGGATATATATAATCACCAAACATTGCTAAGTACTGGCCCCTTTAAACCTGATAAAAACATTTATATCAATCTGTATTTGAGAAAATGTATGTAACACATACGTTTATATATAAATAAATAAATAAATATATATATATATGCGTTTATTTCATAATAAAATCCTAAATATCTCATGTAATTTACTGAATGTGCTGCACTGTAAATCACTAGTTTTCTTCTCTTGGTGTCCTTTTGCCAAAACAGCAAGGAATCACTGCTGATGCCCAGCATCTTGAGCAAATATTGTGACAAACAGCATAAAATTTATGCAAACAACATAAAATCCCAAATCACAGTTAATTTTCCACTGAGTACTTATTACTTTTTCCTTTATGCTTCAGTAGTGGACTGAATTCAGGGCCTTGCACATGTTACACAAGTTACGATGGATTGGAGACACAGCTCCAGTGATTTTACTTTATGTTCATCTGGGTCTTGCTCCACTATCCAGCCTGGCCTTGCTACTGTAATATTCCTGCCACAGTGTTCCAAGTGGCTGAGATAGAAGCGGGGGCAGCACCATGCCTCACTGAAGTTCATTTAACCAAGCACAGTAATCCTGGATAATACTGGTGATTAAAAAACCCAACTGCAGCCAGGCATAGTGGAACATTCCTGTCATCTCAGCACTTAAAGAGGCTGAAACACCAAAAGTTTGCTGCAACCTGTGCAATATAGTGAAACCTAATCTCAAAATTTTAGAATATTAAGAGGTGTGGAGAATGTATTCCAGAGAAAAAGTGGAGTTCAATATTGTGTACAATAAAAACATCAACCACACCTGAAATCTGTTGTATTGTGGAGAAATCCCTTTCTATCACTCTTAGATGATGACAGCCACCAATTCTTAAGCCAGACAAGGTCCTATGGTTTCTTAATTTCCATTTTTTCCTCAAAAACTAGTAGGGATGAATGTGAAGGCACACACCTCTAGTCCCACTACTCAGGAGGCAGAATCAGGATAGTTACTAGTTGGAGAAAATCCTGAACTATGTACATAGTATGTTCAAGGCCAGTTTAAATTATGCAGCAGAACCTTCATTCTTTGTTGCCGGGGATTTAGCTCAGTGGTTCTGGGGACTGCCTCACAAATGCAAGGACCGGAGTTCCATCCCCGGTACCAAAAAAAAACAAACAAACAAACAAAGAAAATTGATTAGGTCACCTAATTAGTAGTTACAAAAGACAAATTTATCTGAATTTTACCAAGTCTTCTTTCTTAATGCCTGAGATATTTGACCCACTCTCAGACTGAGTCAGCACACAACACTTCATTTATTGCCACACTAGAAAAAAAATCTGTCAGGGGAAGACCCTCTCTGTTGTAGTTGTGGGTAGATATTACCACCAACACCATCCTCTCCTCTCCCACTGTCCTCCGCCTCACAGCACATAAACTTCTTTTATCACTAAACACTCACTGAGCTTCAGACCTCAAATGTCAGGCTTTACTCCTACTACAATATTGCTTTAATATAAAGCCGACCTCAATCAGCATTTCAGCTCTTAAAACAGAGCCTACAAGGTCTGTAGCAATTCTAGATGCCACCCTGTCCTTTTCCACTCCTACCAAATCACATGTCCGTGCACATACTCTAGCTTAATGATTCGCACACTGTGTAACAGGCAGCTCCTTCCGGAAGTGGTCCTTGGCAGGCACACTCTCTCCTGCCCTTACTCACACACTGACATCCTCTGCACTTCTCTGAGCATTCTAAGCTCCATGGGAAGGCCTCACTCAAGCGGTGTCTGTCACTGATGTGCCACCTGAATCAGTGCTTTTGCACTACTGTGTCTGTACTACTGGAGTTCACTGCACCATCGACTCAATCGCCATCAATATTCAACATTTCTTTTTCTTGTTGTTTACTGGTTTATTGTTATTTGGCGTGTTGTTCTTGTTGAGGGTTTCACCATGTAATTCAAACTGGCCTTGAGATCACTAGGTAGCCCAGGCTGGACTCCAACTCGCAGCAAACTTCCCGCCTCAGCCTCCCCAGCGCAGGGATTACGGGGGTCACCACCACCGCAGGGGATTCTTTCACCTGTCAACGCATCACTCCTCATTTACCCTGGGTTCGGCAACACGGGCAGTGCTGGAATTTTGGTAGTTGACTCTCATCACCACGGCCCCGCCCGACTCCCCACCGGAAAAGGGTCCCCCCACAGCCCCTACCCGGCCGGCACAGGCGGAGACGAGCTGTGGCTGCG